ATTTTAAAAATACTTAAAGATAAATAATATAAATATACGTTTGAGAATTTAATAATAAATAACATTAAATATTAAAAAAAAAAAACCAAAGTTATGAGAAAAAAAGCTAAACGACTTTTTCAATCATGTAACTTCGTGCCTTTTAACAAGTCACTGACATTTTAATAAATTTAATTGTCTTTATCACAGACTCACCTAAACTGGGACTAGAACTGTTACTATCATCTTTCCTCGATACATATTTGGGAGATACATGTTGTTCCGATAGTTCAGGTTTACAGTGCAGCGGACAATTGTTCTTTCTTCTCGGGAATTGTTCCGTTGGCTCCTGCTGATATAACAAATCGCTGTGATACCATATTGATGATTGCGCTGTAACTTTTCTATAGAACGGAGTAATAGCGGAGCTCGCGTTTAGAAATTGTATCAATCGCGAAACTTTCTCTCGATGAGACACAATATCTTACTCAGTTTACTCAGAATCAGCTACAGACGTTCGTATAGTCAAAATACATTCGAAGACAAAGTTTATATTTCTCTCGATCTATTTTGCGTATTTTTTTTATTAATAATTAAAATCTATTTCATACATATTTCATCATATTATTCATAATTTACATTTTAAATCTCTTTCACTTATAAATTTCTTATATATTTATCACTTATATATTTATCTTTTAATCGATTTTTTTTCCAGTTCTTCTTTTATACTATTCTTATCTATTCTTTTATTCTTTTATACAGTATTGAAGGTATCATCTTCCGTTATATCGTTTTATTTATGTATGCTGGAACGAACGGCTGACACCGATCCTGTTTACGCTATTATCCGCAGGAAGCTGCACGATTTTCAGAATTATTAATCTGATCAATCTGAATCAGAATTGCACGCACAACGGAATATTGACTCAATTTTATTATATTCAAATAGGAAATTGGATAATGGTTTACAAAATGCTTCGCGTATTACAAGAAACAATATGCATGTGCATTACGTGCATCCGTTTTACCGATCTATTCTCCTCTTGGAAATTCAGAAATACTATCCTGGCTAATTTGTCTAAGACCAGCGATCTCACGATACTCGGTACGCGAATGCCCCGCACACCACGGTGATGCAAATTCAACGTCACGACCGCTAGACCGGATGCGAACGATACCAGACAAATGCTGACGCCATAGTAAAGACCTGAAAGCATCAAAAGAAAAAGTACGAATAAATAGAATAATAATGAAGAAATTGAGTGGTAAAAATTGGAAGGTAAAAAATTTGAACGAGTCCAAATTAGATGATTAATAATATAATTTTCTTTACTTTAAAAATAGCAAAAACCACTCGCAAAACATTTTACTTATATTAAAATGACAAAAAACATGAAACGTTTCAAATTTAACTTACAATTAGTCCTTTTCAATCATAAAAAATTACAAATTTGAATCATGTAAAAACTTTAAGTAAGTTTTCACGGCTGAGAAGGATTAAGTTAAGTTTGAAATGTTTTTTGTCATTTTAATATAAGTAAAATTCTATTATTAGTCTTTTATAACAATTTGGACTCTTTTAAATTTGTTAGCTTCATTTAATTTCTTCATTGCTTTTCATATTAGTCCCTTAATTGGTAAATTAAGTCCAAAATTAGGAAAAATGCATTTATTATAAAAGTAAAAAATATTAAGAATATTTGTTTTATCAATTTAATTTACTTTGATTTTGTTCTTATGTATTTCATAAAAAATAAAAATCAATTTTACATCATAAATAAAGTGATCGTAAAAAAATAATAACTGGAATAGTAACTTAAGTCTAGTTTTTTCTACAGTCAAAAACAATTCAAAGAATTTTTATACAAATATTCATCTCTTTTATAAAATATTGAATTAATATATATTTAATAACATATTTAAAATATATAAATATTTATTTAAATTAATACAACAGACAGAATTAAAAGAATCGGATAAAATATTGTTATTTTTATTTGAGGAAATTTGCTGAATATGATGCACTCGTTGTATCTTGTTAAGAAAATTGTTTACCACAAACCGTTGTCTAACCATTAAACAAAATTCTTTCTCCACTTGAGTAACAATTCCGAACTATTTTTATTTGGTTTTCTCGTTGTTCTTTGAGTACACTCTTTCGGGATTCTTCTTTGAAGACTACATTAGCAGAAATGAGACGCTATTCAATCTTGCAAAGACGGCTAACCGTGTCTGAAGGAAATCCCAGGTGCATTTTACCACAGGTTTTTTAATGAATAACGAGCAACTGTAACCTTCGTTATACATTACTCTGGTCTTACATTAGTTGCTTTCAAGTCAATTTCAAGCTTACTACGTCAACCAATTTAAAGTGTTAATTTTAAAATTAACTAAAATTAACTAAAAACAGGGTAATGCGAACCAAAATCACGATAACATTTTGCGTCGAACAATTCCAAATTAACAAAATTAAGTGATTTTAAAATTCGAAAATATGATTTCGGAAAAATATTTGTCATAATTCGACCAAATATAATGACAGCATAAAAAAAAATTGATGAATCGTAATATTTTAAAAATATTTTGGATATGTAGAAATGTTTTTGAATTTTAAATTAAAGTTTTTAATTTAATTAACTAATAAAGTACTTACTTATCAGTGGCGTCTTCTCCGTGGGCGGTAAAGTTTCGCGAATGGTCATCAGAAACACTGTCATAGATAGAAGGGCCGAGATGCCGAGGGTGACTTTCTCTCCCGACTCGGAGGGCACGTAGAACACCAGCAGGGCTGGAGAGCAAACAAAAACAGCGTTCGCGAAAGTTTCACCCTTACCGCGAAATATTGAATCCAAGATATTCCACGAGACTTCGATTTGAAGTCTCGTGACAAACTCAAAAGTTTGTAGATCGAGAATGGAGTAACCGCAGAACTGTAGGAAAAAAATGATAAAAAAAGGTGAGTCTCGGGTTGCTTTTTTCTCAGTTCGATAAATTTAAATTATTAAGTTTTCCGTATTTTTTGTTTTCATTAAACATTATTATATTTAGCATATCAATATCTAAATTATTGATTGATATCACGATAACTTTATAGAATACCAGTTTTCCAGTTTTAATTTTTATTTGAGTCTTAAGATATTTATAATTGATTCTTATTTCAAGATCGTTCTAAGTAAAGTAAGATGCTAATATATAATTCTCTAAATTCATAACATCTTAAAATTGTGCTTAAAATGATCCTAAATATAAAAACCAATTACGAGTTATACCGGTCTTAATCTTGCGAAAAATATTAGTAAATATTCGTGCAAAGAAAATGAATTTAAATTTTGTCTATTTTTTACTATTACTGTGTAAAATAATTTATGAATTCTCTTGACCAAACAAAATCATATAAATATTTCCCAATAATTCATAGTTGTCCTTTTTTAATTGTTCTATACCATCAATTTTATCATCGGAAAACCATTGCGTTGTTCCATTTGTCCGACAGTGCCTTGATTGCTCTACTGGGTCTTATATTCTGTTATTTCAATGTGTTTTTTTTATCTATTTCTATATATACCTTATATACATCTATCCTACATATACCTTATACGTTAATTTCTTTACTCTCTTAAACTTTCGCTGGCATAAATTTTAATTCCTCCGTCAGTAATAGGGGCTTTCCAGAAACAAAGTAAATTTTTTATTGTTTCAGATTATAAAAGTTTAAAAAAATTCTAGTATACTTTTCAAAACTTTAACAACATGTTTTTATCATTGTAGAAGCCAGATTACAGACCATTATATTATCTACATATTTAAATTTATCTACCAAGATTCATAATAAAAAAGTAGATCGTGCCATTGCTAGAGAGACTTTTATTATGTCCTACTTTCCATTTTTTTTTGTCTATAAAATTCATTTTTTACTCGATAGGTAATTGCTGTTCTGTTAGCTTGGCGCTAATATCTAACAAGTTCTCGGAAAATTTCTTTCATTATCGATAAATGGCAGCAGAAATGTAATGAAATGCTTCGGTTTATGCCGTTTCCTTAAAGGCGATCACTTAATTTGTTTTCCCCCGTACAAATCCTAACGCTATTAGACCCAATATTATTTTTCGAATTCTCATCTTCCTCCTCCTTTGCATAATGTTACATAATATTCGAAGATCATTTTTTTACGCTTTTACAAAGAATTAACAAAGAACTTTAGAAATTTAGTAATTACGTATTTTTCTTTTACTGCCTTATAATATTTTTATGATTATAATATTTTTATGAGAAATATATATTTTTCTTTTTCTTAATTATATTATTGTAATATTAGAATATATGTAGAATGATTAAAAGTAAATATTTCTAGATAATAAGAAAGTGTATTAAACTAAAACATTTTTTTTTTTTGTTATAAAAAAAAATAGATACAAAGATAATTTGTATTAAACTAAAACATTTTTTTTGTTATAAAAAAAAATAGATACAAAGATAATTTTGCTTTGTAATTTAAACAATAATTACAAAAATATTTAATGTAAAAAATTTATGGCAAGCAATTAATCTTTTAGATATCTTTATAGAAATTTAATTGACTTTAAACTTATCAAGTAATCTGTTTTCAAAATATTCTTGACATATTTCTATGTATATTTTTAATAAATGTATATTTTTATTAAAATTTCGAATTTCTTTCAAACATGTATATAAAAGCGATAATCATGCATTTTAATTTTTTTATCAAGCAATAATAAATTTCCAACTAGAAATGATTGGTTGAATCGATTGACTAGTGCTATCGACAGACGTCGATCCAATTATTTTTAGCGAAGTTTTAACATGTAATTTGCTCGCATAGCTATTAATAAGGTTTTTTTCCACCGAGATTACGAAAACTATTCTGGAAATTCATAAGATTCGCATTTCGTGCTAATAGGGACAATCTCAATTTTCTCATGCAAGCAGGTCGTACGAAGAGTGCGGAAAGATCGGAAGAGAGAGTATACTTAATCTCTTATATGACTTACTACTACTTTGTAGTTTCAAGGTTTATTTATGAAATTTACTTCGTAACTAACGATAAGAGCTGTTATTTCCTTTAATAAACGAGGTCCTCGAGATTATGTTATATCACATATCATTAATTCACAATCTTAAAACTTCACTCATGAGATTCAATTTAATAATAGATGTCTTTTCATAAAAAAGTTTTTTGTGAAAAGATATTTTTAAAGAAAAATAGTAATCGATTATTTTATTCATTTTTCACTGAATATGATGTAAAGATCGATAAATGAGCGCGTTAGATTGTTTACAAAAAAAATTGTTCGTATTTTCAGAATAAATAAAAAAGCTTCGAAGAGAGAGAGAGAGAGAGAGAGAGAGAGAGAGAGAGAGAGAGAGAGAGAGAGAGGGAAAGAAACAAATCATAGGTATAATAAAGATTTTTTATTATGTAACTTATTTCTTCGGGACCTTTTTCTTGTACATATTATTTTTAGAATAAAGCTGCTAATGGTGCAATTATTAATTATTTCAAATTTTTTTTCTTAAATATATTTTCAATGTAAGATATAAAATGAGATATAACGCCGTTAATTGTAATATTAGAACTTTCTAAATCAGGAATTATAGTAACAGTATTTTGAATACATACAAGTACCGAAAAACAATTATTATGCCCTTTGATGTACGAACATTAGTTCGATCTACTGCAAGTCACTAACTTGGGCATTCCACGCTGTTTCACTCAGGTATGCACATTTATGTAGTCTACTTACCAACGCCATTAATTAGTATGCAGGGTAGAATCAGATTGAAGACGTAGAACATCGGACGTCGTCGTAAGCGAATTTCGTAAGTGATGTCGGGGTACGGTTCCTCGCAACAGGAATAATACTCGATGTTTCTACGAGCGGTGAAGTCCAGAAGATGAAACTCGCCGTTCGCCTGATAATTGCTCACGTCCCCCTGCTCGCTCTGTCTCTCCAGTTCGAGCTGATGTTCGCAAAATTTCCTCATAAATTACGCAAGACACTATGACAACTGACGTCGCAAATTGCCGTCGTTTGTCTATAAAAACTAGTTCTACATTAATCGCAAACTTGTTAGGACAGCAAGAGATTCTCAAGAGTAAAAGATTGAACGTTTGAACATTTTTTGATTGAGCCGTCATATTTTTCAAGATCTGCTTAAGATAAAATGAGATGTGTAAGATTAACAGGATTAGGAAAAGATATTTTTTTAAAGGATAAAATATCGTGTCTTTTTTTTTAACATGTTTTTAATACTTCATTACACGCTTTAAACAATATTATAAAAAACATATTTAAAATATATTTAAAACATTCATTAAGCATGGGATTTAAACAATGGAAAACATGTTTAAAATATGATTTTTATCAACCTGATAAGATAGGATAAAATGCGAGGACATCTTATTCTATCTTACATAAGCAAGTTCTGAAAAATATAGTGGAACGAAAAATATGGTGTTCAATCTCTCTTGTGAGATCTCTAGTTTTAAAATTGACGCTCCACAGATTGACTATTGCGACAAATTTGCGATTTGATTTGCATTTAATGTAGAACCAGCTTTAAAACGGCAAAGTTTTGCGAGTAGTAAAAAATATCAATTGAAAGCAGGTTTTTGTTATTTATCGAACATCGCGTCCTTTTGCTAAACATGAATGGAAACTAACGTCTAGAGTCGGTTCGGTTTATCGACTAAAAGTTAAACTGACAGCTGACAGGCCGAATGTCTGTCGTTGCGATCCAGAATGTTTTGTATAACGCGTAATAACTTTTCATCGAGCTGATACATGTTTTATTAATAATGACAAATCGAGAGGTTTATTGCGGTCGTACGAATGGGAAAAGAATTAAAAGACCAAAATCGAATTTTAAATTGAAGTAGAATATTACACGAATCGAACAGACACTCTCAATTGAATTTTAATATAATCTTTGTTTTACTTTTATCACAATTTCTTCTGTATCTCGTAACAAGTAATATGTCACATCATTTACCTATTTATTAGATCCTTATTTTCTTAAATGATAAAAATCGAATTTTTAATTGAGATAAAATATACAAACAGAATAGACATTCTCAATGAAATTTTAAAATAATCCTTGTTTTACTTTTTATAGTAATTTCTTTTTTCGTAGATCTCGTAACAAATAATATGTCACATCATTTATTTGTTTACTCAATCAACAAATTCTTCAAAAAATTCCTAATTGGAACAAGAACTTCGACTTTTTTTTATGAAAGAGAAACCTCTTGTCAAGTTTTCGCTTGGGAAATTAATGATGGCCACTGAAAATCCGACCACACGAAACACGAGAAATGATTAATGCGCGAAGAACTTTGAAAGATTCTCTTAGACAAGCATTTTACACCGCGATGACGTTCTTTACGCGACGAGGAGAAAACGGCGGCAGTAGCGACGGCAGCAAATGTATTCAACGCGAAGAGATAGAAAATGGGAAAACTCTGTGAAAAAGATAGGCAGGGTGCTCTCGGCGCAGAGGCGAACTGAACGGTTCTCGTATTGAATTCTTCTCGCGATGTTGGGATTAAGCTCTTCGATCTGCCCGAACCAGGGCAATTTTTACGACTTGACGGCTCGGCGTTTTCGATTCCGCAGCTGTGTTAAGCGTTCCCGAACTTCCAAAAGACCGATCGGCTTCGCTTCGCAAACAAATGTACGTTTTTTTCCTTTCGTTCATTCGTGTCGCACGCACAATTCATTCTGCATCAAAATAGTTTTTTGCTACGTATTTCTCCTAATACCGAAAAAAATTAGCTATCTAAAACATAAAAAGATACAAAAATGTTCGGCGATCTTTATAGTAATTTCAATATGCATCTAAATATAAGATTTAATCTGCAATAAATATAAGATTTAATCTGCAATATTCATTCTTTATTTTTGTCTTTCTAATCGATACGATTTCGCATTTCGCATGAATTATATAATATATACTGATATACCAATACTTCAGACTTCAGATAATCGATAAGGTATCTTGCTGAATGATATCTACCAAAACCATAAAATATTCCGCGATCCTAAATGAAGGTGAATATAAAATCGTGAATTATGAAATTCTGTTGAACGCAAAAATTAATTCGATTTAAAAAGAAAATCTGCAAGACGAATTACCATTGTGCGCTGTCTATATAATAATCGCTCTCCCATATTTTTAAATGATTCTAAAGTTTTATGAGACCCAATGAAAACATTGACTAATTAGAACATGTCATTCGAATTATCTCTTATATAACACTTATTTATTTAAAATATATCGATATCTTTGACTAACAACTCAACTGAAATCAATCTCTTGAAAACGATTTAATAAATAGGCCTTCAGAATCAATTTTATATCCGTTACCTATGTATTTGCAATCGCGATTTAACCGAGAAATTTAAATAAAATGTGTTTTAAACATTTTTAACATAGTCTTGATAGTCATCTAAACTTTACTTCTCATGATTCAATAAAAAAGATGATTCTTAAAAAAAGATGTCGTTCGTTTATTTCAAAAATGATACATAACTCATAAAATTAAGGAAAAGAAAATATTTCTTTCTTACGAAAAATTATTTTTCAAAAAAGATGATAAAAAAAATCATTAAATTGTCACAATTCGAAAAAATCGTTTTTAAGAGTTGATATGAAAATAACAAAAATAACATTTGATTGATGTATTAAAAATATTTTCTTTTTGCCGATATTATTTGAGTAGTAATTATTATTTAATAATTTTCTGTCAGACTTAACAAAAAATTATTATGTTATTTTATCATTTTCGTTTCAATCCTTAAAAAACTATTTTTTTAGTATAACAACTTTAATGATTTTTCTAAAACCATCCTTTTCGAATTATAATGTTTTGAT